GCTGTGCGGGGGCGGAGGGCTGCAGCATGCACCAGAACATGTGCGTGCCTGCCGCTCCGATGGCTCGGAGGAGGGAGAGGAGAGCCTGTCCCTTTCCCTGTCCCTGCCATCCCCTCCTTGAGATCTTGCCCCCCAGTTTTTCATCATTTGGCCCCTGCACATTATTTGGTCCCCTATCCCAGGCCCTGCCTCTCCCTGTGGCCTTGGACGAATCCCTTCTCCCTGGGTGTTGGCTCCCAGAGGCCAAGGCAAGTCCATCTATGCCATGAGCAGGCAATCTGCATGGTCCCTCCAATTCTGATGTCCTGGGCGTCTGTGACCTCCCACCTGTGCCTTCCAGAGAGGGTGGCCACCCTACTGGGGCATTTCTGGCATCTACAGAGGTACGTAGACCCCCATTACACAGATGATAAAGTTGAGAACACAAAGGACAAGTGATTCAGCCAGGGTGGCCCAGTAGATTAGAGGCAGAAGCACTACTGGAAAATCAGCAACAGTTCAGAATCCCTCCCCCAACACACGGGGCCCCCGCTTTCTTCCCTTGTTAGTGGGTAAGAGAGAGGGTGCTTCCCAGGCACGGTGCCAGGAGTGGCCCCTCTCTGTGACCTTCCTTCTGTATGCTGGGTGCTGGAGACAGGGACACACACCCCTGAGCAGGTCCCTCCACCTCCTCAAGCCACAGTCTCTTCCTCTGTGAGAGGGAGGAGTAAGCCCTGCCCCTCCCTCGGAGATGAGCTCATGGAGGGAGAAGAGCCCCGGCCCCAGAGTGTCGTGGATAGCCGAGGGTATTAGGGGTGGAATAAACACACCACCAGGCCTCGGAGCAGCGCGTCGATGCCCTGGTGCTCTCTCTCTCCAGCGTGACATTGTCCACGCTCCTATCGGCTCTGCCGGGGAAGGTGGGACTGCGACGACGCTCATTCCATGGATGTTAGAGCTTGGGTTCCAGGAAGCGCTTGAGCAGCCAGGCCCCAGGCCCCGAGCTGCCTCTGGACCACACTGGCACCCGGGATCAGCCTTGCCCCGAGGGGTTGGCGATGCAAAGCCGAGGAAGTGAGAAGGGGCTCCGGAGTCCGGAGCCAGCCCTCTGCTCGAGTCAACCCTGCAGGCCAAGCGCAGCCCCTGCAACCCCTCCCCCCCCAACACTGCCTTGAGTCAATTTCAGATCCCTGTTTCTAGAGAGAAAAGAGTGGGTTGAGCTCTCTCTCCAATCTCTCTCCCTCCCTCCCTCTCTCTCTCTCTCTCTCTCTCAAGTAAAATCTCCTTTGGAGGCTCTTTCTGTACAGCCCAGTGATTACACAGGCTGCAGGGCAGCTCTCTGCCTTTCCAGCCTCTTCTGGGGCTGGGAGCAATGCCACGGGCTGGGCAAGTCTTCTTCTCCGCTTCTTTGAACCTGATCCCTTTCCTCTGGTGCTTCCACACCCCCTGGCCCCTCACCACTACCAGCATTCCTGCTTTTCTCAGAGATTCTGGTCTTCAGAGAAAACTGGACATACCAGGAGCTCTGGCCTGGCCACGGCAACCCACCCTGACCTCTGCAGCTCCTGTCACTGCCTCTAGCAAGATTCTGGGTCCCCTGGGGTCTGGGCTTTCATTCCCCTCATCCTTGGGACAGAGGAGGACTGGGGTCAAAGGAGGAGGGAGTGAGCTCACTCTGGGTCCCAAGCGACAGCCCCACCCAACCTTCTAGGGGACATGAAATCAAGTTCTCGCCTCATCTGAATTCACAGGCTTCAGTGGGACGTTCAGTGCAGTGGCATCGGGGGCTGCAGAAACCCCTGCCCAGGGCCCGGACTCTAGCCACAGCCTCCCTGCTGGCTGCGCCCAGCGCTAGAGAGGAGCAGCTCCTCCTGCATCCCTAGCCAGCCCTGCCTGGGCTTCTAGAAGGCCTGCCGTCACGAGCCGGACCCCACTGGGCAGGACGCCAGGAGCACTTGCCTTCCTCTGCAGTGGGCAGCCCACGGCCCCATGGAGGAGGCCCAAAGGCTCCTATGTGCCCTTTTAGGGCTAACCCAGCTGCCTCTTCCGGTCACCCTGCTAGTGATCGGAGTGGGCTCTGGAATGGGGGTTCAGCTTTTGGGTGGTGACTGCAGTGTCCCACCCGACAGGGTCCCTGGGTCATTGATTGAAGAATGGGCCCTGCAGGTGTCTTCCTCGCTTCCTCACCCAGGAGCCCTTGCATCACTGCCGGCCTCGGGGAGATGGGGCTTGGCTAGCCCCCTGGCCCCACTGGGCAAACTCCAGACAAAAGGCAAACATCTAGCAGGTCCCATCACCTATCTTTAGCCCTGCCAGGCTTTGAGGACAACTGTCACCGCAGCAGTGAGCCTGCGCTGGAGGCCCACTGTGCGCCAGGCTCGAGGCTGTGTCTCTGTAGGCACCATCTCATCACATCCTCACAGCCCTTCTTCCTCTCCAGATCACAGGTGAGGGAAAGAGGCTCCGACACCTGCCCAATGTCACAGAGCGATGGGTGGTGAGGGACGGAGCCTGCGCCCCTCCCTGCCCTGCTGGCTGCTCAGACCGAAGCTGCCGTGCAGAGCAGGAGCCCCAGCCTCCTCGGTGACATGCCCTGGCCTTTCCACGCAGACAGCAGAAGCGTGGAGCCAGGCCACCTCATCCCCTTGCTCCCACACAAGCATCCTTAACCTGAGGCCCAGGCACGGACTTCCTGCTGTCCTGCAAGCTCTTGATACCGCATGCAGCATTTTGTAGGTTTGTACATTTTTCTGGGGAATGTAGATTTAGCCTTTCTTCAGATTCCTGAAGGAATATGTGACCTAAAAAAAGGTTAAGAGCACTGATGGTTCTGGAAGGAAGAGGTCTGAAATTGATCAGACAAGGCCTGGCCATGTCTGCCACTCTCAGTTTTCCTGCCATGGCCACGCTCCAGGGCTCCCTTTCCTCTGAAACTCCTTGTAAAGGCTCACGAAGGAGCCCTCTGCCAAGCTGCCCCCACAAAACCCAGTCTTAGTGACATCCCTCGCCTCTTGGGGCAAACCATCACTTTTATTTTCACTTCCAGCACTTGAGTCACATCCCAACTCCATTTCACTGTACTCTGTGACGCAGTCCTGCCAGAACCCAGCTGTGGTCGCTCCTTGCAAAGCAGCTCCTTCCTAGCGAATCAGGGGATTCTGGGGTTCCAGGTGGACGCTGGAAACCAGCTGGACAGGGGTCCCTGCGCAAGTATGGCGGACAGCCTCAGTTCCCCAGAGCAGCCTTGAACATTTTGTTCCTGCCCCTACTCGTAGCACGAAACACACTCAGAAAGGCAGCAAGTCTGCAGGCAAGAGTGCACACACATCTGCACATGGCTGTGGGTGCACACAGGAGCCGGAGTGTGCCTGTAGGTGTCGGGATAGCCTGGGTGTGCCCGTGTCTGTGTGTGCAGGCAGCCTACTTGTACACAGCACAGGCCCACCTCCCACACATGCACAGACACCGGCATGAGCTCACACATGCCTCCAACACCCATACTCCCACACGAGTCCGTGCGCCCAGGCCTCACACATGCACACACACACACGTACACCTCCCCTCCCGTGTGCACGACCCTCGTCCTCACACAGATGTACACGTCCAGACCTCACAGGAACACCACTGCATCCACGTCTCACATGTGCATCCTTACGCACCCGAGGCCTCGCACACATGCACCTCCTGGTGTGCATACAGACCTAACCTGACATACATGTGCACACACACTGACGCATGTCCACACCCTTGCTCCCATGCAGCCCAGCCAACGGCACTCCTTGGACACTCACACACACACACACACACACACACACACACACACACGCATGCACCCTTTCAGGGCACACTTGCACCTCGTCCTGGTGCACACACACAAACACTTGCACACCGTCTCAGTGCACACAAGTGCACCCCAGAGCCAGTCCTTATACAACACAATCAATTTCCCTAAGAAGTCCTCACACACAGCAATATACATCGCCTCCCCTCAAAATGCACCCTGGCGCACACACATCCAGAACTCGCACCTGCTCACACAGCCCCTCTCCCCTGCACTCTTGCTGCTATAACAGGAACCCACCAGGGCATTGTCGCTCCTTGGCCCACAGGGAAAACTCTGCCTTCACACTGCACCCAACCCTTGATCCACCCCATGATCCTCCACAGACCTAGATGGGGACATCCAGAAACCCTTCCCTGACACTCCATAGCCTCCTGGGCTACCCCAAGGCTCTTCCGTCTCTCCTCATCCTCCCACCCTTCTTTCCAGAGCAGTCATCAGAGACAGGAAATGATCAGCTTTGGGCTGGGCAACTTTGCCACAGGACCAGAGCTGCTGCAACCTTCGCACCACCAGCCCCTGATGCAGCGGTGCCCCCTCCAGCTTGCCTGATTGCCCCTCCCCTCCTCCCAACACCCAGGAAGCCTCGCCAGCGCTCAGCCATTAACCCCTACTGTACCGATGCTCTCATTCCTGGCAGCAGCTGGGAAGGGGGAGGTGGGGAGGAGACGCACTTACAGGGAGAAGTTGCCCACTAGGCAAGTCGCTGCAGGTGCCTAAAGTCAGGAAGGACTACCTGGGAGCTGGTGAATTCCCTGCCATGGAGGTAGCTAAGTGGAGGCCAGATGGCCACCTCACACGAAACTAGAGGAGGGATTCCAGCTTTGGATCCAGCTGACTGGGAAAATCCTCTTTAACCCCGAGTTTCTAAGAATCTGTGTGCAACCAGGCTGTGTGCATTTGTGTGTGTGTTTGTGTGCATATGTGCACTGGCATACACTGGCAACCTTTCACCCCTACACACACGCACTCGCCTGGTTGGCTTGGCACATCTGTGCACCCACAAACATGCCGACACCCGACTCCGGGCACTCTGTGCACATGCAAGTGTCCCCAGCCCCATGCAGCCTGCCTTCCTCTGTATGCACAGGAATGCTCCCAGGGCACCGCAGGCACATGCCCCTGGCCCGAGACAACGACGCCCCCTGCGCCCTCCAGGACTCCCTGAGGCGCAACTCACTTTCCTAGTTCCTCGAAGAGCTGGTACTCTTCTGTGAAGCGGGTGCAGGTGATGGTGGCCATCCTGGTGCTGGGCGGGCAGGCGAGGCTCGGAGCTGGGGGACCAGGACTGAGGCACTGCTGCTCTGCTCCTGGAACTCGGGGCCACTCGCCTGCCCGTGCTGCCGAGTGCAAACAGAGAACCGGCTTGCCTGACGAGCCCGGGGCTTCTGAGCAGGGCACTGTGGCTGCTCACAGCCTCGCGAGCCTTCGTCAGCATCCAGGTCCCCATGGCAACCACCTCCGAAACGCCCTGTTCCCGTTGCCCCGGTAACTGCCTCCCCAACACCTGCCTGCCTTCCACTGCGAAAACCTGCTCCCGGACGCCTGGCCCTGCCGAACACAGTACTGCAGGCCTGTGTGGGCCGGGGGGCGGATGGACACAGCACCCCCAGGGTGATGGGCCAAGAGAGGGGTTGGGGGAGGGGGAAGAGAACAAACTTAGTCCACAAGTGATCTTCTCTCTTCCCACCTCCCCCACCTCCAACTGTGGGGCCCTTGTAGCAGACGGGATGGGATTAAGTGGGGCAAAAAGGCAGTTGCCATGGTAACTGCCAGTGGGTGCCGCATTCCGGGATGGTCCCCGGGAAAGACAGGATGCAGTTACCCTGGCAACTTCATCTCCTCTGGAGAGACAGGTATTGCCCCGTTGCCCTGGCAACAGCTGGGTTCTAAGGTTTACAGGGAAACGATGGCTAATTTGTTGGGATGGCTCTCTCTGTGGATCACTGTAGTCTGTAACTGTCTCTCAGTTCCCCTCCGTATTTTTTTTTTTGCCTCTGCCTCTGTCTTACTTATTTTGCTCCTGCTCTCTCTGCTCTTCTACCACCTTGCCCACTGCACTAGCACACTAGCTTGGGGGAGAAGTGCAGAGGACACCCTAGGATTCTTGAGGGATGGCCCTGGCTGCCCACTCACTCCCGCCTCTCCCAGCTGCGATGGTTGCTCCCCTCCTGAGCCCTCTTCTGCAACCTCTCCCCTACCCTGTGCCCCCAGAGGGACTATGGAGATCTGGTCTCCTGGGGCTCATGTCCCAGTTTCTGCCTGTGCTTCAAGTCAAGGTAAAAGAGGCGAGAGGCAGCTGTGGGGAGGTGAGCATGGCCTGGCTTACCCGGGCAAGGCCAGCGACCGTGCACCTGCCCCGAAATCTGCATTCCCAAATTCTGTGGGAACCTTCCCTGCCAACTTCAACTCTTCAAGGTATCAGCCATACATACACACGCACGATCTCACCCCAAGGCCTGGGGGTTAAGAAGGAAAAGGACTGGAGTTTAAGACTAAGGATCTGAGTTTGAGTTCCAATGACATTTATTAGCTATGTGACCCTAGTCAGGTCACTAACCCTCTCTGAGCCTCCAGCCCCTTTTCTATACAACAGTGGAACAAAACTGCCCCTGCAGAGGAAGGCTGTGAAGATGGAGTAGGCTCAGAGCTGTTTTTAGTTTCTAGAAGAAGAAAAGGAAGCCTCTTTTTAGTTTCTAGAAGAAGAAAAGGAAGCTTTAAAGCAGGACCATGACCACTCCCATCACTCTAGCCTAGACTTAGAATCTCAAACCCTGTGCACCCCCGCCCCCCTATACTCAGGAAAAAGGGTGCATTAGCTCATTTCACAGCATGCAGGGCTGAGACCTCATGCCAGCACCTGTCCCCAATGAGCATGGGCACGATAAATGATCCAGGCATTCAAACCCTCTGGGATTCTAGCTCACCCCTTCTGAACCTCCAAATCACCTTACTGGTCCCCTCATTTGCTGGACATGTGGTCTGTTTGTTGGTATCCTCCAACCCCAACAAGCCCCTGATTCACCACCCTAAGTCCAGGAGCCCCCTGGAGATATCTGGGCATCCCCCAGTTCTGCCTGTCTTCCTGGGAGTCAGCGGGGGTGGGGAGAATGATGGGTGAGCTCTCCCATTCAGCCACTTTTCCCAGGAGGGGAAGGGAGGGAGGCAGAGGGGAAGGAGGGGAAGTGAACAGGGAGGAGGGGGGTAATGGCTTCACCACTAATTGCACCATTACCACCTTCAGTAAAAGGAAAAACCACTCAGTTTTGTTTCTGCACACAATATGCTTCCTGCTCGTGCCGCCAACGTTGCAATTCAAAGGCAGAGAGGAGAGGCCTGCGCTCAGGGCCCGCACAGCCAGTGGGCAGCAAGCAGGGCACAGAACACCGCACCGAGCTACCGGCATCTGTGGGCAGGTGGAGGAGGGCTGCATTGCCACCTCCTGCCCCAGACCCTCTAGCCTGTCCCCAGGAAGGGGTGGCTTCCACAACTGAAAGTGCTGGAATAGACCTCAATGACCACTGAGGCCACTGGCCATTGCCCAGAGGAGAGGAGAGGCAATGTTGTTTAGTACAGTGACTCCACGACCTACAGGCTGTGTGATTTTGGATGAGTATCCTAACTTCTTGGTGCCTCAGTTCCTCCATCTGCAAAATCGGCTGAATAATATTCCCTACCTCCAGGCTGTTCTATGGGCACAAAGGGTGATACACATAAATGCTCAGTATGCAGGAAATTATTATGGAGGAACTCAAATGTCCTTTCCCTGAACACCCCTCTCCCTGAATCATGGAAACACGCATCGCCATCTTCAAGTCCCTGTCCTTGGGGCGCTGTTCTCTGAGTCCCCACTGGAGCTCAGCTCGTGGTTTGGATAACACCTTGTCCAGGCCTAGTTTGCAGCAATGTCTGTAGAACAAAGGACTGGGGCTAGAAGGAGGGGAGGTCACAAGGACCTGCAGTTCATCGTGTGCCAACATAACGATAATATGGCTTTAAAAATTAACCACCGAGACAAAAAGCAAATGTTCCGTGAGGCTGTGTTAATGGAAATCTAACATTCTGAAAAAAGGAGGTGGTATTCTGCTTGGCTTGGTGCTGGCCTGACTGCCCTGTCTCGCTCCCTGTCCCTGATGGGGACCAGGGTTGGTGGCCTATGTGGCTGCAGGGGGCAGGGCCAACCCAGCCCCTCTCCACTTCTGTCCCCTCTGTCTATTCTTCCCATCTCCAGCTCTCCTAGAGGTTTAAACCTCCCTTTCTTCTCTCTCATTCTCTCTCTTGGTGTCTTCCTTCCTTTGCATATTTTCTTCCCAGTTCTTATCTTTCCCACTCCTTTCTACTTCCCCTCTTGTTTCTAACCCCCTCCCCTTCTGTCATTCTTCTCTCCCTCCCCTGGTGGCCCAGACGGTGCATGTCTACTAGGGGATGGGCAGGTCCCAGGCTGCAGGAGAGATGGCTGGGGGGGGGGAGGAAGAGGAGAAGAGAAAGGGGTCTCCTCAGCAAGTCTCTCTTACACGTGCACCCACACCCCTCTGAACCTTCCAGAGCCTGGCTCAGGGGTGTGGGCATTGCCTTGGATGGGCACCCCCATCCTGAGTGTAAGTGCCACTCTGCTGAGAAGGCACAACTGCTAATGCACTGCCTCCCCTGTGCCCACGAGGCTGGCAGCTGTGCCCGGTGGCAGCGGGCAGCGAGGAGCCAGCCGTGCCTCTGTGGCGCTGAGAGAATGAGCCGATGATTGCATCAGGGGGATTGTTCCTGCCAAGCTCCCCACTCCCCAGGGCCATGGCAGGCATGAGCGCCAGCACGTGTGCCCATCTGCAACACGCGTGTGGTGCTCAAGAGCAGGCCCGCATGCTATGGGCTGGTGTCCAGGGGTGGGAGCTCTGGGGGTTGCTGAACACGGCCCTGACATGCCGGAATGGGGCTTGGCACATGCACACAGGCAGCACCCCATGGAGCCGGGAGGCATGAGAGGAGACCAGGGCCAGGTTCCTGGGAGGGTGATCGCAGCCCCAGCGGCATTGTGACAGCTGACTCAAATCCCACCTTCTGCAGCCCACACACGTGCTCACATGCACATGCCCGAGTGCCTCAGGGTCCTGCAGGGCCTGGGCAGGCACCAGAGAAAGCGTGCCAGCCGAAGGGTCCCCACGGGGCCTGTCCCACTAAGGGCAGCGAGCGTGGGGGGCAGAACGAGCAGAAAGTGGGCCAAGAGAGGACCGATCCTGCCGAGGGTCTGGCTGGAGGGCAGTGAGTTCATTCATCGTGGTAACGCCAGGCCCACATGCAGAGGGAGGGAAGGCGGGGCAGGGAGCAGCGCTGCCACCCAGGTGTCCCACAGGAGGCACTCCTTGCAGGGCAGAGTGCCGCAGAGAGCCACGGCACAGAGAACAAGGTCTGCACAGCACGACCTGCGGTTAGAGGACCCGAGTTTGAGTCCTGGGAGAGCTTGCTGCAGGTCTTTTCCCCAGTGGGGCCTCCAGAGCTCCGCCCCTTGAGCCAGGTGTGGGGCTCTCTCCTAGCCCTGGCGGGAGGGCCGTTGTGGCCCAGGACTCCACAGGCAGGGCCCAGCTTGGACAGGCTGCCCTGGCTCTCTGCCCTGTAGCCAGCAGACTTGCTGCCACCTGGTCCAGCCAAGGGAGAAACGGGGGTGGTCCCCAAGCACGTCTGGGCTCCACTCCCCCAGACCCATGGCCCGAGGGGCCGGGGCTGCCTTGGGTCTGCCCTCCCTGTCCTCCCCCCACCACACGGGCTCAAGTGGTATAAGCACCCGCCTGGCAGTGCCATCACATCAGCAGCCTGGCCAAGGGTCCAGATCCGCATGCCCTGGCTGGAGGGAACTCGTGCCGCAAGAGGCAAGAGGGGCAGGCGGGAGCCATGCTGATTGCTGGGAAGAACTGAAGCCACAGCATGCAGAGCCTCTCATGGCAGAGCCCGAGACCCTCCACCAGTCTCGGGCCTGGGCCAGGTTGCAGGCTGAAGCTTGCAGGGGCCCCCTGGCTGTTTGCTGGGTGCTGGGTTGGGCAGGACTCTGAGCTAGGCAAGCTCTGGGCTGGGGTTGAGACTGGCCCGAGACCCAGGCCGAGCTTCCTTCTCAGCAGGAGCAGTGCCAGTCCCCTCCCCAGCTGGTCTCTCTTGGTTTGGGGCCAGCTTGGCCAGAGAGAGTAGATCTTGGGGCCTAAGGGACAGCAGAAAGGGCCATCTAGGGTCCTGTACTTGAGACCACAAAGGGCAGGGGCCGCAGGCAGAGAAGCAGGGGCTGGAGCTGAAGGGTGGGCCTCGGGCAGGGCTGACTCAGCAGGCACAGGAGAGGCCTCCGAACGGCGCGTGCAAGCCTGGAGCCGCAGGGAAGCCCTGGCTCCGCGCCACCCTGGAAAGGCCCAGCCCACACAGCTGGGACAAGCACCCAACAGAGCTGGAGTATCCTGAGTAATGGGCAGACTATGGACAGCGCATCCCCTGGGATATGCCGGACCCAGGACGCTGTCCTAATGGTGACTTCTTCAGAGCCTCCCTCCTGAGCAAGTGAAAGGCTGAAGGTGGCCAGAATCCAGAGGCCTCTGCCCGTCCCGGCCCCTGCCGCACCGCAGCCCGGCACCCGCATCACAGAGGCAGGGGAAGGGGCCAGGTGGGACACAGGTGGTCACCTCCACCCAGCAGCCCCAGCCAGACCCCCACTGCTGGACTCGGGCCCCTCTGCAGAGGGGATGCAGCTCCGTAGCCAGTGCCTGAACCCCTCGCCCACCCCACCCCACCCATCCTGCTCATCCACAAGCTGACGAGTCCTAACAGGCCTCCTTTGCCAGAGACAAAAATAACTATTTTCAAAATTCACAGCAGGGCTTTCGCCTACACACACTGCGCCGACTGGAACCTGAAGGGAGAGATGCAGAACGCA